ATTGGCACACACACACACACACACACACACACGTTCTAAGCCAAATACTTACTGGTGGCTCACACCTGTAATCTTAATTACTCAGGAGTCTGAGACCGGAAAATTCAATTCAAAGCCAGCCCTGACAGCAAAGTCCACAAGACTCTTATCTCCAACTGACCACCAAAAAAAGCCAGAAGTGGAGCTGGCTCAAGTGGTAGGGCACTTAGCTTTGCAAAAAAAGTGTACCACAGCTCCTAGGGCCCTCAGTTCAAGCCCCAAGACTAGCACATACACACACAAATTTTAGCTCCAAAGTTTGGTTCCTTTTCGTGCCCTATCTACATTTCACAACTGAAAACTAAGGAAGTAGATGAATATTTTTTACATTCATGCTTATTTTTAACATCTATTAACTCACCTAAATGTTTGTAATGGTGATTGTGAGCTTGCAATAAAACTTTTACTCGGTCCAAAGGAGCAACAGTTGTTTTGGCACAGCATCCAGCAATACCTTAAAAAATGTTTAGAAGGTCAGAAAGAAACAGCATTTCATTGAGGGAGATAATTTCTTTAGTCAGTAAAAACGCCAATCTTTAACTTGGCCTCTTTGGGTGGAATTGCCCCATATCAGAGATATTTGGACAACTGGCTCCCGTTCCCTGTAATTTTATAATTGAGCATGTCAGACTTAAAAAATTCTAGGAGAAGCCAGGCACTGGTGGCTCACGCCTATAATCCTAGCTACTCTAGAGGCTGAGATCTGAGGATCACGGAACAAAGCCAGCCTGGGCAGGAAAGTTGGCGAGACTCTTATCTCCAATAAACCACTAGAAAACCAGAAGTGGACCCTGTGGCTCAGCAGCAGATTGCTCACCTTGAGCTGAAGAGGTGAGGGACAGCGCCCAGGCCCAGAGTTCAAGCCCCAGGACTGACAAAAAAAAAAAAAAAATCCTAGGAGAACAAAGCAGTCCCTAGTACCTGATGAACACAAGTAATTTTGCTAATACGTGGAGATAGAGCCCAAGATATTATTTGCAGAACTGTTTGAAATGATCACCTTTTCTTCTGGATGACTTTCTCACTTGAAACAATCAACTTTTAACCACAAAATTCTTCATTCATTTATGCATTCGGTAAATATGTATTTGGCCCATAACACATACTGCTGGCAACAGATGTGGATAAAAGCAGAGCAAAGTGCTTCCATGGGCTTTACTTAAATGTTTGAATATGATATCTATACATAAGTTTCCATACTAGAATTTTTCTATCTGAACTAATGGAAATAACAACCTTGACGATCAAAACTGAAGCTAAACTACAAATATGGCTATGCATGATTTTATATTATGCTGTATTGTCTTGTTAGTCATGTACAACTGTATACGTTAACCATATAATGAAAGTAGTTTTTTATCCCTTTGTATAACCATTTAAATATTAAAAAAAAAACAAAACAGGAGATGGTGGCTCACACCTGTAATCCTAGATATACAAACTGAGATTTGAGGATATGGGTTAGAAGTCCAAGGACTCTTACCTCCAATTAATCAACAAAAATCCAAAAGTGGAGCTGTGGCTCAAGTGATTAGAGCTCTAGCCTTGGGCAAAAAAAGCTCAGGGGCACAGCCCCACAGCCTGAGTGAAAGCCCAGGACCAACACAAGCCCTGTCACATCATGTCTTTGCTTCTGAAAATCTACAATTGTTCTCCACTTCACTCCAAGTCTTATAACTCTTTACCAGTCCTTACTTTTTTTTTTTTTGCCAGCCCTTACTTTTTGCCTCTTATCATTTGCCTAACTTCCTTCCCTAAAAAAACCATCACCTATCTTCAGCCTTAGTCCTTGAAGCAACTGTTGCAATAGACTAGGCCCCCACTGACTTCGTAACCTTTGCTTTAGCTTCTCCTTCTTTAGATATGAACTTGCTATACTTCCTAATTCCTTTAATCTCCTCAGTCTAGTGTGTAGCTGTGTGCCAGCAGTCTCAGCTACACAGAAGCAGAAGAACTGACAGTTCTTTGATAACAGCCTGAGCAAGATAACAAGATCCCAAACCCAAAGTAGAGGAAGTGGGTGTATGAAGACACCTGCCTATAATCCACACTTGGAATCTGAAGCCTACACAGAAAGACCCAGTCTCCCCTCCCCTCCCCCCCAAAAACACTCAGAAATTAGCTGAGTCCTATTCTCTCAATGATAAAGACTAACCACAACCATCCTAGCTGACCCTGCATATTTTCCACTTCTTTATTTCCTGCCTCAGTCTCCTTTGCATTCATCACCTTCAAATATATGATAAAGTTACTTTCTCTTTTTGTTTATTTTCTTTATTCCCCATAGTGCCTCATTCAGGAGGAAACACAGCAAGGGTAAAGTGCCTGGTTTTGTTCTCTTGTGTATAAAAGCAGGTAGAGCTGGCACTCATAGCCTCCACTGTTAATAAATGAATATACTTTTTTAGTTTGTTTTGTCAGTCATGGGGCTTGAACTCTGGGCCTGGTCTCTGTCCCTCAGCTCTTCAGCTCAAGGCAAGCACTTGAGCCACAGTGCCATTTCTGGTTTTCTGGTGGTTTACTGGAGATAAGAGTCTCAAAGAGGGCTGGGAAGGTGGCTCAGTGGTAGAGCGCTTGCCTTGCATGCCTGAGGCCCTGGGTTCGATTCCTCAGCACCACATAAGCAAAAAGAAAAAAGCCGGAAGTGGCGCTGTGGCTCAAGTGGTAGAGCGCTAGCCTTGAGCTGAAGAGCTGAGGGACAGCGCCCAGGCCCAGAGTTCAGGCCCCACAACAGGACACACACACACACACACACACACACACACAAGAGTCTCAAAGACTTTCCTGCCCAGGCTGGCTTTGAACCGCAATCCTCAGATCTCAGCATCTGGTTTAGCTAGGATTACAGGCCTAAACCACCAACGCCCGGCATTAAATGTACTTTTTGTTTTTTTGGGGGGGTATGTCGTGGGGCTTGAACTCTGGGGCACTATCCCTCAGCTCAAGGGAAGCACTCTACCATTGGAGCTACAGCGCCACTTCCTGTTTTCTGAGTGGTTTATTGGAGATGAGACTTATGGAGTTTCTGCCGAGGCTGGCTTTGAATCATGATCCTCAGAGCTCAACCTCCTGAGTAGCCAGAATTACAGGCATGAGCTACCGATTCCTGGCCTTGAATTTACTTTTATCAGCCAAAAACAAAATAATTAGGGGCTGGAAGGTGGCTCAGTGGTAGAGTGCTTGCCTTGCATGCATGAGGCCCTGGGTTCAATTCCTCAGCACCACATAAGCAGAAAAAGCTGGAAGTGGTGCTGTGGCTCAAGTGGTAGAGTGCTAGTCTTGAGCTGAAGAGCTGAGGGACAGCACCCAGGCCCAGAGTTAAGGCCCCACGACAGAACCAAAAAAAAATATATTAAATTCTTAATACTGCTATATTTTTCAGATACTATCTTTCAACAAGTCCTCAAACTACAAATATTTTTTGTTCCTAGCCTTTTGTAATTAAGTGTTGACAACCAAGAGAAACAACCATAGAAGGACAGAGATGAAAACATTTGTTTATAAGAACTCAAGAGAAGCCAGGCACAGGTGGCTCACGCCTGTAATCCTAGCTACTCAGGAAGCTGAGATCTGAGGATTGCAGTTCAAAGCCAGCTCAGGCAGGAAAGTCTGTGAGACTCTTATCTCCAATTAACCATCAAAAACCGGAAGTGGCGCTGTGGCTCAAATGGTAGAGGGCTAGCCTTGAGCTGACAGGGACAGCGTCCAGGCCCAGAGTTCAAGTCCCACGACCTACCAAAACAAAAAACAAGAGGAAATTTCGTTGAGACAAAGTGAACCTTTTGGCTTCACAGTCACAATAACAGGCCTTTTCAAGTAGCTCTGGCATCGTTTTTAGAGCGCCATGGAACCAGTTCTGGTTGCCTATAGTTTTACACAACTCCCAGTCATTTTTGGAAAGCTTACCACCACTTGTCACCCTTTGAGCAACATGCAACGCTACACTCAATCACCCTCGTTCTTTATTGAAGAAAGTGTATCACGTAAAGAATCCCCTTCTTCCATCCTGGCAAAACAGATGCCTCCTGGTTCAGTTCTAGCCCGTCCCCAGCCTCTCCCCCGGGGCCCAAGGCCCAACTCCCCGGGACCTGACTGTCACCACCAGTCGGGTACAGTAGAAAACAATAAGGAGCCAGCAGGGCGGAGAAGCGAGTCCAGTCCAAGACATCATCGGGGCCGCTGGCAGCCGCTGGCACCGGCCGGCACCGAGCCCGCCGGGGATCACGCCACCCAGCAGCGCCGGGTGCCGCCTGCAGACACCCACCTCCAGCCACGAAAGAGCGGAGCCAGTAGAAGTCTCGGCGAGCAGTGGGCCCTCCAGCCCCGGCTGCCGGCGGCACCGCGGGCGGAGAGTCGGCCGCTGCCAGGGCCGCTGCTGCAGCCATCAGGACCTGCCCACGTCGGGAGCTTCGGATGACAACTTACAAACCACAGGCCGGGGCCATGGCTGGTGCGGGCATTGACACTGGGGCCGGCCGCCGCGCGGGCGGGGCCAAGTGACTCGGACGCTGCCGCGCGGGATGATGACGTCGGGGGCCGGCCCGAGGAGGCGGGGCCAGAAGCAGAAGGGGGCGGCGCCCAGGCGCCTCAACCTGGTGCTGGTGACGTAAGGGGGCTGGCCAGGCCCTCCCGGTGTCCGCTGCGGGCTTTGCAGTTTGGCGCCTTTGTGATCAGGCTGGGGAGGGATAAGGTTTCTCCAGTCTCTTCGACACCTACTGCCGCTCGGTGATGCCCGTGGCTTTCGCCGGTAACCCCAACGACTCAGGAGGATCGCGGTTCAGAACCAGCCCGATTGACAAGTTCTATAGACTCTTACCTTCACTTAACCAGTACAAAGCCAGAGGTGCAAGTGTGGCTCAAGGGGTAAAGTGCCAGCCTTGAGCGAAGAAGCTCCAAGCTTCTTCAAGACCCTGAATTCAAAACAAAGACCAAATTGAAGATGTGGCTCAAGTGATAATGTGACAGCCTTGAGCATGAGGTTCTGGGTTCAAACCCTGGTACCGGCACACACACACACACTAACCCTAGAAATGGGTCAATTTCAAATGTTTCCTTCCCATTAAACTTTTATATCACTTTTACATTTCTTAAATTCTTCTCATACCAGATACAGGATTAATTAGCTGTGTAAAATTTCCAGTAACAGCCAGGAGTTGGTGACTCACGCCTGTAATCCTAGCTACTCAGGAGGCTGAGATCTGAAGATCGCGGTTCAAAGCCAGCCCGTGAGACTCCTATCTCCAATAAACCACCAGAAAACCGGAAGTGGCACTGTAGCTCCAGTGGTAGAGCGCTAGCCTTGAGCTGAAGAGCTGAGGGACAGCGCCCAGGCCCAGAGTTCAAGCCCCACGACCGTCCAAAAAAAAAATTTCCAGTAACAGCTGATCCTCAATTCCATTCTTCCCTCACTTCCCTAAGCTTCCACTCTACTATACCTTTGACTGAATTTGAACCCAGAATATTGCCTCCACCTCCTCCCTTAGTGCTTGGATTAGTCAAAAACCACCATGCCAGTATTTCTCTTTATATCTAAATGACACCAATTTTGGTTCATTATAGCCAAACTTAAATTTATTATTTTTTTCCAAGCATACTGTTTCCTTTTTGCAGTAAATAATAATTCTGTTTTCAGTCAATAAACTTTAATCCAAAATATTCAACCTGTTTTCTCCTGCCCTCTGCTGTCAGTTCTTAACATAACAGCTAAAGTAATCCTCATTCCTATAGAACCAGTTACTAAGAAGGCTGAGATCTGAGGATTTTCCAGCTGTGAAAGACAAATCCAAGCTTGGTGCTGGTGGCTCATGCCTGTAATCCTAGCTACTCAGGAGGCATCGCAGTTGAAAGCCAGCCCGGGGAAGAAAGTCCTTGAGACTCTCATCTCCCATAAACCACCAGAAAACTGCAAGTGGTGCTGTGGCTCAAGTTGTAAACTGCTCACCTTGAGCTGAAGAGGACAGGGACAGCACCCATGGCCAGAGTTCAAGCCCCATGACTGACAAAAAAAGAAAAAGAAACAGAAAGAAAGACAAATCCAAGAAACTACCTTCAATTAACCAACAAAAAGTCAGTAATGGAGGTGTGACTCAAGTAGTAGAGCCCCTTCTGTGAACAGAGCTTAGCAAGAATGTGAAACCAGGCTGGGAAGGTGGCTCAGTAGTAGAGTGCTTGCCTTGCATGCATGAGGCCCTGGGTTCAATTCCTCAGCACCACATAAGCAGAAAAAGCCAGAAGTGGAGCTGTGGCTCTAGTGGTAGAGTGCTAACCTTGAGCTGAAGAGCAGAGTGACAGTGCCTAGGCCCAGAATTCAAGCTCCACGACCAACAACAACAACAAAAAAAGCATGTGAAGACCTAAGTGTGAAGCTCCAGTAACAGCCACAATAAATAAATTAGATATAGGGCTGGGAAGGTGGCTCAGTGGTAGAGCGCTTGCCTTGCATGCATGAGACCCTGGGTTCGATTCCTCAGCACCATATAGGCAAAAAAAATAGATATAGATTACTGATAGGCACATAGATAATAGAAAGACAGATGATAAATAAAAAGCTGAAACAAGCTGGGTATCAAAGCTTCATGCTATAATCCTAGCTTCTCAGAAGGATGAGATCTGGGAATCCTGGTTCAAAGCCAGCCCAGGCAGAAAAGGCCCTGAGACTCTTATCTCCAATAAACTACTCAGAAAAGGGCCAGAAGTAGCACTATGGTTCAAGTGATAGAGCACTAGCCTAGAGCTTAGTGAATCCAGGGCTTCATCCATTCTAAGCAAGCACTCTACCACTAAGCCACATTCCCAGCCCACACCAGCAATTTTTATAGACACATTATATATATATATATATATATACATTAAATCTAAATGTTTGAATGTTTGTATCAATTTTCTCCCACAAGGATGTAAATTCCATAAGACAAGGATTATGTATTTGATAAAATGTGTTGTTTGACATCAGTATCAAATGGTAAATGGTAAGAAGCATAGTTAAAGACAATTTTTTACTTCTTTCCCTTTGTGAATAGCTAGAAACTAATACCTAGTGCTAAAGAACAAGCAACTAGCTGGAAATGAGTGACTCGTGTTTATAATCCTAGCCATTCAGGAGGCTGAGCTCTGAGGACTGAGTTTTGAAGTCAACTTGAACTTCCTGTTCAAGTCCTTATGGACTTTCCTAGTCCATAAGACTTCTATCTCCAATTTAACTACCAAGAAACAGGAAATGAAACTGTGACTCCGAGTGGTAGCCAGAATTGAGTAGAAAAAGCTAAGGGATAGAACTTAGGTCCGAGTTTAAGCTCAGTACTGGCACACACATTCACACACACACATTCTCACACTGGCACACACACAAACAGTAAAAAAGAATTATGGGCTGGGAATGTGGCTTAGTGGTAGAATGCTTGCCTAGCATGCTTGAAGCCTCAGGACCACATAAACAGAAAAAGCCGGAAGTGGCGCTGTGGCTCAAGGGGTAGAGTGCTAGCTCTGAGCAAAAGACTCTCAAGGCCAGAGCTCAGCACTGAGTTTGAGCCCCAGGACTGGTAAAATTTAAAAAATGATGATGATGATGATGATGATAATGATGATGTGTAATATTGGGAGCATAGATGGCTGACAGGGATTTAGCTCAGTAGTAGAGAGGTTACTAGCAAATAGAAGGACTTGGTTAAATTCCACCAAAATAATTGTGTGTGTGTGTGTGTGTTATGGGAAATGAGGGGTTTTTTTATTGTAAAGGTGATGTATAGCAGGATTACAGTTACATGTATAGCAGGATTACAGTTACATAAATCAGATAATGAGTACATTTCTTTACTTTTTAAGTTTATTTTAATTTTTGACAGTCCTGGGACTTGAACTCAGGGCCTGGACACTATCCCTAAGCTTCCTTTGCTCAAGGCTAGCACTCTACCACTTGAGCCACAGCACAACTTCTGACTTTTTCTGCTCATGAGAAATCAAACCCAGGGCTTCATGCATGCTTGGCAAGCACTGTACCACTAAGCCACATTCCCAGGCGATTATATTTCTTTTTGAACAGAGTTGCTATCACCCCCTCCCTCATTTTCTCCGTTTTTTCCTTCCGGAACCCCCTCTTCCTAAATTGGGGAGATTTAAATGTCTGTTTGTTTATTCTGCCACATTCCCACCCTTAAAGTCCTATTTTTCAAAGCTCTATAAATCATTTGTGTGTATATACGTGCCTGTCCTGGGGCTTGAACTCAGGCTCGGGTGTTGTCCCTTAGCTTTTTTGTTCAAGTCTCCTGCTGTATCACTTGAGTCATAAATCTGTTTCTGGTTTATTGGTGCTTTATTAGAGATAAGAATCTCAGGCTAGCTGGGCCCCAGTGGCTCACTCCTGTAATCCTAGCTACTCAGGAGGCTGAGATCTGAGGATCTTGGTTCAAAGCTAGCCTAGGCAGGAAAGTCAGTGAAACTCTTATCTCCAATAAAGGACCAGAAAACCGGAAGTGGCCCTGTAGCTCAAGTGGTAGAGCACTAGGCTTGAGCTGAAGAGCTGAGGGACAGCGCCCAGGCCCAGAGTTCAAGCCCCACGACCGACAAAAAAAAAAAAAAGAAATATTAGTGGAACTTTAGATGGAGATAAAGACCTATAAAAAGCAAGGACTTTGCTGCCCAGGTTGGCTTTGTAACTTGAGCCCCAGATCTCAGCCTCCTGAGTAGCTTGGGTTATAGCTAGCCATAAGCACCTGGCTCTAAGAGCAATTTACCTGTAAATAAGAGATTTCCTGGGGGCTGGGAATGTGGCTTAGTGGTAGAGTGCTTGCCTAGCATGCATAGAGCCCTGGGTTCAATTCCTCAGTACCACATAAATAGAAAAAGCTGGAAGGCCTGGGAAGGTGGCTCAGTGGTAGAGTGCTTGCCTTGTGTGCATGAGGCCCTGGGTTCGATTCCTCAGCACCACATAAGCAGAAAAAGCCAGAGGTGGCACTGTGGCTCAAGTGGTAGAGTGGTAGCCTTGAGCTGAAGAGCTGAGGCCCAGAGTTCAAGCCCCATGACCAAAAAAAAAAAAAAATCTGCCTGTGCAGGAAAGTCTGTGAGACTCTTATCTAGAAAACCACCAGAAAACTGGTAGTGGTGCTGTGGCTCAAGTGGTAGAGTGGTAGCCTTGAGCTGAAGAGCTGAGGCCCAGAGTTCAAGCCCCATGACCAAAAAAAAAAAAAAATCTGCCTGTGCAGGAAAGTCTGTGAGACTCTTATCTAGAAAACCACCAGAAAACTGGTAGTGGTGCTGTGGCTCAAGTGGTAGAGAGCTAGCCTTGAGCATAGAGAGGCTCAGGGACAGAGCCCAGGCCCTAAGCTCAAACCCCAGGACTGGCAAAAGAGAGAGAGAGAGGGGAGGAGAAAGGGAGATTTCCTGGGTCTTAGAAAGAGATAAACTTGGAAGTTTGAGCCATTTAAGTTGCAACTGAAGCCATGTTTATTTGCAGAACATTGAATAATGTACAAAGGTGACTCTCAGGCTGGAGCTCATGACTAGCATTCATGAAGCCCTGAGTTCAATCCCCAGCATCACAGAACATTTCCTAGGCTAGACATGCAGGGAATGTCAACACTGGGAGTATAATGCACTGTAACTTGAGCTCTAGGACAGAATCCCAACTCCAAAGGTTTCATGTGTCTGGTTGGGCCACTCAGCCCAATGTTCAAAATAGCT